AATTCGCAAAATTAGCATTATCCTCAGTATTTGGAAGATCTTCAGAATTACGTAGATCCTCTGTATTTTCAGAATTCTCAGAATTCGCAGGATTCTCAGTTTTCTCGGAATTCTGGATTAAAAGATCATTATACTGCGTCATCCACGTGACTTCATTATGACTGGTCAATTGCTTCATTGACAATATATATAATTTTGAGAAAGAATAAGTTTTAAAACTTTCAATAAAAAAATTTAAAATATTAAATTATAAATTAATTATTCATATTAATTATTTTATATTGATAATAATAAATAATTTTTTAATATAATATTTAATTAAAAATTATAGGATAAACTTTACATATAAAATAACTAATTAATAAATATCATAACAATAAAAACTAATTAATATAAATCTAAAAATAAAAATAAGAAATTATCAATAATATAAAAATACACATGTCTAATGCTGTCAAATAGGCATCTGATAAGGTGTCAATAGACTTGCTTATTATGCTACAGTAGGGTGCTGGTTGAAGAATATTGGGCCAAACTACTAGTTACCTATTGTGAACAGATATTGTTATCATCAAAATACAATCATTACCAATCAAAACAGACTATTAGGATTATTAGATATGCCGATTACTAAGGATTAGATAATTATAATTAGTATCAATGATAATATTTTTAAAAAATAAATTACAATCGAAACATATATTTATTTAAGTCTTTAACTGAATTTTATACAAATTGGAATAACTGATTGGAGTGATTACTTTAAATAGTTTGTTTACAAGAAACATTGATCAGTTTATGTGTATTTTTTATATTTATTGTAAAATAAAATGCCAGTTTAATAAAATTTACAAATTAGCTAAAAGTATACAATAAAATATTGCTAAAATTATTTATAAAAAACAATTCTTCTGAATTTAAATTTTTGTACGTATATAATTATAATAAATTTCTAATTATTTTAGTGAGACGCAGTATTATAATCGGTCATATGTTCACCTAATTTTCTAGGAATAGTATTTGACGAATGCTCCATGTAAGCTATTTGTACAGCCATTTTTAAAGAACCTTTATAGCCGCTAACGGTTCACCTTAAAGCCTGAAATGGTTCTGATAGTTCTTTATCATAAAAATTAATATCATCATGAATTTGTGCTCGCTTCTTTGGAACCTTAGATGTTTCGATAAATATACGATCGATGTAATCGCGTAAAAACAATCGTAACTGCAAAATGAAAATTAAATTATTTTTATATTGGAATCTAAATAACATCAGTCATTAATCTTATTAATCTTACTGTCCTCGAGCGCCATTTTAAATCCTTCATAATAATTTTCCTTCTACTGGAAGTATTTTCATCGTCAGTCTCAGAAACTTCTGGCTAACGATAAACTGAATTATTTTTAATCGGCCGAAGTTCATTATCCTTAAACAAATTAACTAACGGATTTTCAATTGTTAACAAATGATCAATTACGTTGGCCCTATTTATTCATTTCTATAATTATAGAATGTAAAATTAGTAAACGGATAATAAGTAACATATTCACATCGTTTCTTCTACTATTCAGATGCTTTCTTCTGGCTTGTTCATTTTGAATTGCAGAGGGTTGTTGTTTTTTTTAGATTATCCTCTCTTCGATATTTATTTCTATTATGTATCATGTCATAGACAATAAATTCAGAAACTGGATACATTTCTGAATCTAAAGTTTTCATGACGGTTGGAACTATTGTACTGTTCACAAGTTTCCGTTGAGAATCGAACGTCTGATTTACTTGCAATTGACTTTGAGATGGCATCCTTTCAATGATCCAAAAAATTTGACGCTAGATATAAAAATGTTAATATGTATGTTTTATATTAGTGAAATGGAAACAAATGAAAATCACTTACTCTTAAGGCGCTTCAGAGATCATTTGGCAGGTCATCAATATGTAAATATTTCTGTCTAGTATCATTGTGGGTAGAACTCGAAGAACTAGAAACTGAGTGTGAAAAGCTTTGAACTCTAATTCTTGATTGGCTTCTGATTGGTGAAGTTGATTGCCTTTGAATACGTAATTGATTTTTTGATTGCCTTTTAATACATGACTGACTTCTGCTTGGTCAACTTTGACTTCGGATTGATCGAATTTGAATAGTTGATTGAGCTCATCTTCGACTTCAACTTTGGGTTGGTCGACTTTGACTTCGGGTTGATCGAATTTGAATAGTTGATTGAGCTTGACTTCTTTGAACCCACGATTCTAGCTGGTATTCTGAACTTTCATCTTCATTATTTTCATTTTCATCTTCATCTTCATCTCGATTTATATCAGATGGACCTGGTGTTGGTTCTACTGGTTTCCCCATCTTTTCTTTTAAAAATTTCTCAAATAGATTTTGAATCTTTTCATCATGTAAAATGAAGCAACTTGATCTGAAATATATGTCGATCATGTATAAAAAGTGTTAGATATTATACCGAAGACTATTATTCTGAAAGAACAAAGTTCAACTCATATTATAATGACTCTGCCCAAGGTTTTCAGGAAAACATCCCAGGAAAACGTCTTTTGAGAAAACGTGTGTAACTAAAAATGCTAATTGATAAAAATTAAAACTTACCTTCATCTTGTTTCTCTTTCTCTGCTTTATTATTGTTGCTCTTGTGATATTTCTTTGAAGGTAATTCTTCATAATATTTTCCATCTGATTCATAAGAATTAGATGATGGAGACCTATTTTGATGGCTATAAGTATCAGCTTTAGTTATAAGATTATTGAGAACAAATATATGATTATAACTTGACTTGCCAATTGATTTTATCACACTTTCTATCTTTCTTATGATGGTCATAGTTTCTTGAGCTTCTTGACTATTCATTTCTATCTTTAATGTGATTTTCATAACTTTTTGACCATCTATCTTTATGTCCCTTATAGCTGCTTCAAGATCTGTTCTGATCGCGTTCAAAATGAGAGAAAGAACCAGAGTGATGATGATGAGTCATAATTAATATTAATAAAGCGAAAATAAATTGAGAGTTGTTTGTTCTTTTTTTTTGATTTGATCTAAAGCAGTTCTTTTATATCTTTTAAAAAGTTTATTAGAAAATATACCTTTTCACGTGAATTATCATTAATAGCTTTTTCACATAGAACAATAAAATAACTTTTATTCATATTTATACTATCGCATTCATATAGGCAATCTAAAAAATTATTAGCATAAGTACAGAATATAATTAACCGGAATAATTAATAGCAGTAGTTAAAGATTAAATTAACTTTTCGCTTTAAATAAAGTTTTACGATATTTTATAACTGACACATAATTTTTTTGATATTCTATATTTTTAAAATGATTAAATGTAAAGTTCAAACAGTATCAACATCTAAAAGACGTACAAAAGTTCGAGCAGTATCAACAACTAAAAAACATAAAAAAGATAGTTCAAAAGTACTATGCTAATGTAAAATGTGTGATGGTAAAAAATTGATCAATTTGAGAATCAGTAAAAAACATGGAATAGAAGAGAAACAGCTTGAAGATTATTGTTCTAATTTGATGAAAAGCAGAGGCAAAAGCAAAGATGATTCAACACAAATTTGCTTTCCTGGTTTAATAACTTGTTCTAGATCTGCTTCAGCTGATATTCAACCCATTGACTTTGATTTTTCTCGAGATATTTATAAAGACAATGCTATGATAATTGAAGATCAATATCAATATGATGATGATGATGATGATTTTATTAAAAACTCAGTTACTGAAAGAAAAAAACGAAGATGATATGATCGGTTTCATAAAACTGATGATATTATCATCATCCTAAACAAAGAACCAGAACAAGCCGATTTATCAGATGATGAAGAAGGTTCTCAATCATTTGATGATGAACCAACTTCAGACGATGAACCATTCTTAAACGATGATGAGATGTTTGCAATATCCAGCTCTACTAATATTAATTATGATTCAAATCAGGATAATACGAATATGGATATAGACAATTTATGGATTCTTCTTTGGATCTTTAAATATCAAGAAAGGTTCAAACTTTCTGATATCATAATCAACTCGTTGATCGGCTTTTTTAGCCTTGTTTAAAAGATATTGACTTGTATCAGTTTAAAGATTTTCCTCTAATTGCTTATAGGTCAAGAAGTTATTAGAAATCAAGAAACTAATAAAAACTTTTGCAACATGTTTGCATTGTAATAAATTATACTATATTGATACAATAATTTCAAAAAACCAAAATAATAATACAAATTCAGGATTTAAATGTACCTATACTGAATTTCCTAACCATTTGATGCAGAATCAACAAAAATCTTGTGGAACAGAATTGCTAGTGAAGGTCCCAATAAATTATGGATATATATAGCGTCCAAAGATAATATATCCATTACCTTGTTTGAAAACTCAATTATCCACAATGTATCAACGGCCAGGATTCGAGCAACTTTTGAAAAAATGGATTAATCAGGATAGTTTAACTTGCACTATGTCAGATATTTATAATGGTAAAATATGGAAAGAATTTTCATTACGCTTAGATATTTCGGATGCTTCCAAATTCTTTACTCCTGAAACAGCTGATTCGCATTTAGGAATTATGATAAATTTGGATTGGTTTCAGCCATTCGATTCATCAGTATATAGTAGTGGAGCTATCTACAGAGTGATTTGCAACTTACCTCATGATGTAAGATTCAAAAGAGAAAATATGCTGATACTAGAATTACTACTGGGACCTCAGGAAGTAAAATTACATAAAATAAATCACTTTCTCGCGTCGATAGTAGATGATTTATTGGAATTTTAGGATAATGGTTTTAATTTGCTCCTGACTGAAAAGTATCCAATTGACAAAAAAATTTGATTAGTAGTTATATGCTGCTCTAATAATATCCCAGCTGCAAGAAAACTGTGCGATCATATCTTTGCATTAGTCGGATGCCATAGATGCTACAAAAGAACAAGCAGTGATGAAGATAACTAAAGACCAAACTTTGGCAGGTTTAATAATATGTCCGATTGGTTTATAATGAAAGATGTTAAAAAGTATCAAAAAAATGCTATGATTTGAAAACATTAATAAACAAAAGAGAATCAGAGAAATCATGTTAGAAGAACCCATGTTCGGTGGTCAGAAATGCTTCGCTTAACCTACTTTGATCTGATTAGATTTTTAGTTGTTGATCCAATGCACAATTTATTCTTAGGCATCGCCTATTGGATCATTAAAAGGCTTTGGATAGACAATAGAAAGATAACAAAACCCATCTCGAGTTGATGGAAAAATGGGGAAAAAAATATTAAGTTGCCAGCTGATCTTGGAAGAATCCCACTTAAAATAGCGACTGAAGAAGATTTTTCGGGTTTTATAGTTGATCAATGGAAATCCTTCATTATGATATATGCTATTCCATTGATGTGAGACATTTTGGATGATGAAGACTGAAAAATCTTGGCCAATTTTGTAAGGGTCTGTTATCTTCTGGTATCTCAAATTATCGATGAAGATAAACTAAGTGAAACACACAGTCGATTACTAAAGATTGCTCGTTTAATTGAAGACAATTATGGATCGGCAATGATAATATCAAATATCCATTTGTCTCTTTATATTTCAGAATGTTGCTTGGATTACGGTCCTATATACTTGTTCTGGTGTTATTTGTTCGAACGAATGAATGGAATATTAGGTAATTTACTTATTACTAAATAATATATTTGGGACGAATGCTAACTATTTTTTAAAAAAATAAGGTTTATTTCTGAATTCTCACTACCAGATTGAACCAGAATTATTACGTATTATTATGCAAAACTGGCAGGTAGATAACTTAATATCCTGTCATTTAAATAACCCGAAGCTTGTCGTAGGATTAGAATTGGTAAAATCCCGACTAACAACAGGAAGTTTGGCAGCGTATGACAGCTTTCAAATTGACGAATTATACCGATTCATGTTAATTTATAGTCTTAAAGTTGAAGATACTATAACCAGTTGTGAATGGTTTCTTGAAGAGATGATGTTTTCAAAGAAGCTTGAAGTAAATCTGCCAGATGAGATTTATGACCTTTTAGTAGAATATTATAATAACACCTATGACTTGAAATTTGTCACCATATCCAGATTGATAGAAAGCAGGAATAATCCAATTGTTGTATAACCTCAAGTAAATCAATTTAGACGTATTCGAATTGGAGCCAAAATATTTGGATTGGCTAATACGCTCCGATATATGAAAAATTCATTTATTCTTGCAAAGTTCGTACAAGCAAATGGTTTAATAGAAACATATCTGGGTCAGGTCCAGTATTATTTCGAACATGAAGTCAATCTACTAAGAAAAAAGGAAATGCATAGATTGGCTTTCGTAAAATGGTTTATGTCAGCTTCAAGCTATCAAACAAGATTTTACTTCCAGATTAGTGACAATATTAAAAGTTGTAATGCGGAAATCTGGACGAAAAATTTTTATGATATCGGTAGAGACTGCATAATTCTAATGCATAATATATTTGGTCGATTTATATCAAGTAAATATGTAATCGGAAAAAAGAACCCAGTTATTTATATGGTTATTATTCCTATAGGAAGAAAATTCTATATGTAATAAATTTTATAAAAAAATCACGATATAATATATACATAAATCATTTAATAAATTAATATTCCCCATCCAGCATATATACAAATTGATAAAGTTTATACAAATAAATATCAATATGAATATTCAATATTAAAAATAAATATCAATAAGTAAATGATTACTCTTTATTTTGCAAATTAGACCTTGAATACTTCAACCGTCAGTTGGACAGTAAAATAAATACCAATATATTAAAAACAAACACTAATAGGTGATTTTCCAATTGCATACAATTTGTGATAAAATGTCTATCGCTCCTTATTTTATCATTTTATTAATTCAGATTGACAAATATACTCCAACCAGTAAGATTACCAGTTGGACAGCTTTTTACCTATGACAATAGAATTTAATTAATAATTTATATAGTAAAAACTAAAAAATAACTATTAAAAGCTTTTTATAGTTTTATTATTAATGAATATTTTTAAAATTAGATTCTTAAAAATTGTTAATTTTACTAATCTTATTATCTTTTATATTTCATAAATCAAAAATTATATAATTTTGAGAATTTTATAAATTATAATTTATAATATATTTTGTTTACAAATATATAAATATAAAGAAAATAGTAATATAAACAAGCTATTAAGTAAAAGAGTAAAAATAAAGTATTTTTTTAAAAGAGAGTAAAAAGGAATACTAATATATTATATTTATATTAGATAGTAGAAATTGTTAAAGCGTCTAAAGTATTCAAATATTTAATTATCTGTAATATAATACTTATTTAGTAGATTACTTAGAAGATAGCCCAATAAAAAATTTGATATAAAAATTCCATAAAAATATTAAGTTTTATAACGTATAACTTTTATGGAAAATC